GAGTTGAGGGCTGAGGGTATAGGATTTGGGGTTTAGGGATGTTTAGGGATTTAGGGTTTAGGAGTTTAAGAGTTTAGGGTTTGGGAATATAGGGTTTAGGGATTTAGAGGTTTGGGAAGTTTCGGCTTAAGTTGTTTAATCCAAAAGGTAACTGTCGGTCCTCTAGGATAACTGGACAATTGACAAGTAGTTCCAGCAAGGCTAGTGCTGGGAATTGCGGAGAACTAGGTAGGCCTTTGGGATACCCTAAAACCCTAAACCCTAAACCCTCAACCCTAAACCCTCAACCCTAAACCCTATAACTCTCTCTATTTGCCTTACGAGGACCTTGTCAGCAGCTTCCCGGGCCAGAGGAGCAGGTAGTTCACAGTTGGGGTCTCAGCTTGGAACCCAGAGACTCCAATACCCCTTACTTAAGGAATATACCTTAAATTATGCTAGGACCCCTATATGATTTAAGGTATATTCCTTAAGGGTATTGGAGTCTTTGGGAATGATAGCCTAAGAGCTGACGTATCCAAATAGTTCGCCTTCAGAAGCCAGTTAGAGTAAGTCCTGGCCTCAGTACTTGGGTTCTTCACCCTTTTCAGGACTCTAGGATAAACCCCAAACCTACACCTCTACACCTAAAGTTTAAAGGCCGGAACCCAAACACCCTCAGAAAGCTCAGAGGTTTGCAAGTTCAGGTTTCAATGTTCAATCCTCCAGAGTTCCTCGTGCTTAGTTCTACAATACCTGGCCTTTACCGGGTTTAGGGTTTAGGGATTAGGGTTTAGGGTTTAGGGATTAGGGGTTAGTGAGGGGTTAGGTTTGGGTCTCAGAAGTCATGATTCTGATGGCCCGTCGTAAAATGCTGGTAGGGTATCCAAGTTGTATTGTCCCGCCCAGCCCCGAAATCCAAAGCCACTGTTCAAGCCCCAGGCTTACACCAACCTCGACTCAAAGACTAAGCCGTTTCCGCAGCCTCTCCCAGAGAGTCCAACACTCCTTAATTGATGAAGATCAATTCCGTCGGAGAGGGCTGACTATTATCCCATTTCTATGACAGGAGGATTGATGTCTTATTAAAGTCTATTGGGGTTTGCTCTGTCTTATTCCCACCGCCGCAGCCTGCGCCGTCCACGGAGACGCGGAGTCTGTTAAGTCACAGCGAGTGGCTCATGCAGCAAAGAAAAGCTGGCTGGGTCATTGCATCCCATGCCCCCTCGCATTCTCCGTGGCTTCTTGCGCTCTTGTAAGTCGTTAATCATCTCTTCATTTTATACAGAATATATCATTTGCGCGTTCAATAGATGTCGCAAGTGTTGTCGTTGCAGCACGGCCAAGGCCCCGCAGATGTTTGTCAGAGTAGGCAATTGCTGCTGCGTTTGAGTTGCCGACGCATCAGCTTGCCCTAAACCCTAAACCCTAAACCCTAAACCCTAAACCCATGAGCGGTGCGGCACGCGATTACCTTGTCAAATCGGAGGCCACCCCTCGAGTTGCAGAGGAAGCAATGGAGGTTGAAGAGTGGAGGGTCCGACATGGCTTGATTCTTGTGTTTGTGCTAACATACTATTGCAGCCCGAGCAATTAGTGAACCCTTTCTTCGACTATACGCATTATGCACCTTTTTGACTGATCTAATTGGCAGGCGGGCGTGGGCGCAGCTCGCGGCATACAGGAACTTCGTGGGAGGAACGTAAATATCGGGGCCTCAAGAATTCGAACCGGGTGTGGGAGCGTACCTATCGTTATAAGAAAGACCCCTGAGGAGTACTATCGGTAGTTAACCCGGCCCCATGTCATAATATTAGTTGGTACGTTTGGTTCCCTGCAGTTCTGCACGCCCAGCACAGGCTCACAGGAGTCAGCATAGTTGGAGCAAGCAGGTATTGAATGCCAAGAACGTTGTAGCTGTTGAGTTCAGGTTTTGGTTTTAGGGTTTCGTACATAGGGTATATAATCTTCTTGTGGATCAAGTAGCAGCTTCTATATAGCATGGACGTGTACAGGATTGGCCACGGACCTTTCCGTGGGCTGATCTGCGTATATTCGGACGACGACGCCTTAGAAATTTTCCAACAGGCGAAGAATCTCGCCTGTGAGTGTGCTGGCTTGGCTTCGCCCTCGGAGGCCAAGGAGTCACACCCATATGAACTCCAGCAGTTGTTGAAAACAACCCATTTTTCCTCATGTCACTGGCAATACCTGGAAGCTGGGCCGATCTTGAGAATTCTTTGTCATAGAATTCTCTTAGATGTGAGAATCCCTGAACCCTAAGCCCTAGAATCATCTAAACCCTAGAAACATAAATGGGAGTTTCCGAAAATTAGGGGTACCTTATTTTGGGGTCCTTATAATAAGGATCCTATTATTTGGGGTACTATATTAGGGTCCCCTATTTTCGGAAACCCCCAAATCTGAAACGGCTTCGGGCACAGCCCAGGAAACCCCCGATGCTCGGGGCCTGGGTCTGGGAAGCAACAAGCAGAAGTACCTGGGTCCTGATTATAAGGAGTTTTACGGCTTGAAAAATTTTGCAGCCTAAGCTATCATAAGCCATGATCAGGATGTATTACTAATATTACAGTGATTGGTTTATAGATATGATTTTGAAGTTCCTTATGACATTAAACCCCTAAACCCTAAACCCTTGAGTTTGAAGTTCCTTATGACATCAAACGAGGTACTCCAGAGCCGCTTTTCTGGCTTTGGCCCTGGATAAGGCTCGCAACGCCAAGTCGGCACCTTCGATCTTGCGCGAAGCCGTGGAGTCGCTAAGCAGCGCCGCTGACCTCGAAGATGCGCGAATGCGGACATCAGAGCCAGGAGCATCACAAGGGCCCTAAACCCTAAACCCTAAACCCTGAGCCAGGAGCATCACAAGGGCAGAAAAGAAGCCGAACGGGAGCGGAAGGATGCGAGGTTTTGAGCCATCGGGACTACTTTGAGCAGCTCTGGGGCGACTGTGTGGAAACTGCTGGTGGTAGGAGACTGCCGAGTATATTGCAAACACAACACATCGCGGGCATGCGGGCGCAAGACCTCTGGGTGGGGCGCAAGAAAGCTCATTCCATACTCATGGCGGCACGAGGCATGATGCACGAAGTGCTTCGGAAGTCCAGCAGGGATGTCCTCATAGAGAACTTGGACGAGCGCCCGTGGCAATTGGTTGTGGCAGGAGTATCTGAGAAGATCCGGGAATCTCTGATAGGACCTGGGATCAAAGCGTTCAGGATCGAGATGCGCAGGAAGGAGGGTGGTTGTCAAAATTATGGTCCCTTTTTGGGTCCTTATTATAATACGCCACCTATTATTTAGGGTACCCCAAAAGGGACCCTAATTTTGACAACTACCCAGGAGCGCTGTCCCTACACGAAAGATCCCATGTCTGTCTTCGTGGCTGAGCGGGTGGATGGCTGGAAGGTCATCCACCATCCGCATGCTAACAAAGATGAAGAGTTGCGTTTTGAAGACGACCAGAGCCTGGACCCTAAACCCTAAACCCTAAACCCTAAAGCCTAAAGCCTAAACCCTAAACCCTAACTATATGCTTTGCAGGTGTTTTCGACCTGTGGAGGTATGAAACACCGCCCGACACGTTAAATCCTCGACGCGTTTTTCAGTCTAGGTATATCCCTAAACTCTAAGGCTTTAGGGTTTAGGGTTTAGAGTTTAGGGCTTAGACTCTAAGCCTTCTAACCCCAAGCCCTACAAACCCAGGAACCAGAAGAAGTACGAGTCCGCTGTCCCAACGCAAGATGAGATGACCAGGCAGTGTCGTGTTTAGAACTCGCGAAGGGAGGTGTAGGGTTTAGGTTTCAATCCTAGGGTTAGGGTAAACCCTAAACCCTATAGGGTTTAGGGTTGAGATCTGTTCAGTTGGAGCAATCAATGACTTTTAAACACTTCAAACCCAACTCCTAATCCTCGATGTTCTGAGCCCGAAGCCGAACGGTTTGAACATGCAGATCATAGAGATCCCCGAAGTCCGAAACCCTAAAACCCCGAAGCCTAACAGTCCCGAAACCCTAAACGCTACACCTTACAACCTTGTTAACCTTAAACCCCGAAACCCTAAACCTTAAACCCTCTACAGTTAAATCCTAAGCCCCGATTTCCGAAACAACCTTACCCCAAACCCTAAACCCTAAACCCTAAACCCTAAACCCCCTAAGCCCTAAACCCTAAACCGTATGCCGAGGATAAAAGGCCTCTGGGCCCGGTCTAGTCTTCACTAAAGCCTCATGGGGCTCCGCATGGTTTGGGGTTTAGGCTTTGGGTTTTAGGGTGTTTAGGGTTTAGGTTTTGAGTCTTTGGGGTTTCAGGGTGTTGAGGGTTTAGGTTTTGAGTGTTTGGGGTTCAGGGTGTTTAGGGTTTAAGTTTTAGGGTGTGTGGGGTTTAGGTTTTCGGGGTTCAAAGTTACGGGGTTCGGGGTTCAGGGTTTAGGGTTTAGGAGTTCAGAGTTTGGGGTTCAACTCCTGATGAGCAGGGCCTTTCGATTGGCCACGGATTGGTCCGTCAGAAACCGATGGGGCGCATTTCAAGCCAACGTGTTTCAGCAGCTCCTGCACCGCTTTAAGGAGAGCCTTGCTGGTGGGAATAGAGCCCTTCTAGCACCCCAGAAAACCGGTTTAGGATTTAGAGCATCCGGGGTATAGGGGGTTTAGGGTTTAGGGGTTTATTAGGGTTTAGGGTTTAGGGTTTAGGGTTTAGGGGGTTTAGGGGTTTAGCGTTTAGGGTTTCAGGGTCCCATAAAACCTTGATAGATGAAGCCTGGCGTCCAAGCTAGCTTGGTTTCAACGATTTCTCGGGCTCCATACGGCTACGGTGTAATTGATACAGGCTCAGGACAATTAGATTCGGGAGCCCAAACCCAAAACTCTAAGCCCTAACCCCTAAAACCCTAAACCCTAAACAGTAAACCCTAAACTCGAAACCCAAAGCCCTAACCCCTAAACCCCTAAACCCCTATACCCGAAGCCCTGAAACCCTAGGCCCGCCCCAAACCCTGCGAGGAGGATTATCGTCCCGGTGGCTTCCAGCTGACCGACTTCCAAAGAGGGGTCACTTGGCAGTAGAAAGAAGAACACGGTTCAGGGTTTAGGATTTAGGGTTTAGGGTTTAGGGGTTTAGGGTTTAGGGTTTGGGTTAAGGGGTTTAGGGAGGAATATGGATTCCACTATGAGGTGTTTACTTTAGGGCTTGAGGGCTGAGGGGTTGAGGGGTTTAGAGGTTTAGGGCTGTTTCTTGGTTGGTCAGATCAGGGTGTCAGGTGGTACAACCAGGATGGACTTCAATAGTGGAGCTTTAGGCAAAGTTCGGCTGTATGGGGGGGGCAGTGGGGTGCCCAGGTTGGGTTCGACGGCGTCGCACTTGCCCCAAACTCTAAACCCTAACCCCCCTCGGGTTTAGGGTTTACCCATAGATAGTAGTTCCTTTTTGGGATTACCCTATAGGATTCTAAATATGAACCCCAAAAAGGAACTACTATGAAGCCTATGATATGGGTAGGGTCATCAGGCTGGTGGGGGTTGATTTCCATTGCGCGGGTGTCGTTGCGAAGGTGCTCGTCAGTCTCCCATAAACATATGTGGGGGGTTGTGGAGCCTGGGCCGTTGAGGGCTCGGAGTGCTTCGGTTTTTCAGAAGAATCATGTGGAAGGGAAACACGTGAAAGGGAAACACGTTTTGCGGTTGGAATCTTCTTCCGAGATTAGGATAAGTAGGATTGAGGGTAGCTTGTTTGTTTGCCTTCTGTGGATAATCCAACGAACTAGCTCAGCACTTGCATTCTTTGCTCAGTTGCTTCAATCACCCGTGGCCCTAGGGCCTATATACGCATATCATTAACCTCATTAACCTTTACTCGTATAGCTCATCAGCCTTGCACCGTAAGCCATACACAACACGTCGAAGAAGGGGGTACTTTATATAGGGGCCTTAGTGATGAGAATTGGAGTTGTGCGGTGTATCATGACAGAAGTTGAAAAGCCTATGAGGGAATATTCGGACTGATTATTCAGACCCCTATATCCCCATGCAAGTGCTAATGATCAGCCAGAAAAACCCACGCCCCAAAACGCCGAAGCCGGAAAGCGAGAGCTCAGACACCCCCTGAGAGCTACTGCCGTAAACCCCAAGCACCGGAGATTGTGGGCAGTCAGGAGAGGGTGGAAGCGTGGGAGCTTTCTGCCACCACCAAATCCGAATTTCTACGCTTCTTGCGAGATGGGGGCGGGCGTGGTTCTGCTGCAGCCTCGGCAGCAGAGGCTTTGAAGATGGATATCTTAGGATTTTTGGTTTGGGGGTTCAGGTGGTGTTAGGGTTTAGGGTTTTGGGCTTTGGGTCTTAGGGTTTAGGGTTTTGGGCTTTGGGTTTCAGGGTTTAGGGTTTGGGGTTTTGGCTTTTAGGACTTTTGGTTTGGGGGTTCAGGTCGTGTTTAGAGGTTCTGGGATTGCGAGGTCCTCGTAGCTGGACTACAATCGAGGGTCCCCATAAATCCGCATTACAAGCCCTTTTTGACACCCATGACGAAGAACCGAACACCTTGAATACTGACCTTCAAAGCAGAAGTACACGACGAAGCCCTACACTCTGTGAGGCCTCCATCGCAAGATCCAGACCCAAGACTCGCCAACTCCTACGGCCCTGCAACCCCCCCGAAATCGAAGAACGCCGAAGACCTACCTATAGTCTCCATTGTAGTTCCTTTTTTTTGGCTTACCCATGTCTATAATTAGGACCCCATAAGGTAACCCCTAAACCCTAAACCCTAAACCCTAAACCCTAAACCCTAAACCCTAAACCCTAAACCCTAAACCCTAAACCCTAAACCTAAAGGTACAGCCCCTCAGCCCCAGGCCGAAAACGCACAGCCATGGCAAGGGGCGCGGCGCGAGGAGTCCTCCCGGGTTTAGGGTTTAGGGTTTAGGGTTTAGGGTTTAGGGTTTAGGGTTTAGGGTTTAGGGTTTAGGGTTTAGGGTTTAGGGTTTAGGGTTCAGGCAGATACTTCCGGGCAAAGGCAAGAGAAGCAGCACGATTCCTGGAACAGTTCATGGTGGAAGCCCTCGTAACTTGACATGAAGTAATGCTTTTGGTTTTAGCCCCTAAACCCTAAACCCTAAACCCAGGCTTGCTCGCACAGAAAAGGCCACTACACTTAAAAAAACCCTAAACCCTAAACCCTAAACCCGAGCTCATTGGTATTGATTGTATCCGGACACCCTGGAGCGCTTTGAGAGGGTGAGGTCTCACACTTCCTGAATGCTACAGGACTTTCGGAGCCTGAATCGTTTCCAATATACGGTTTAGGGTTTAGGGTTTAGGGTGTAGGGTTCCTGAAATCCAGGGGCACTTTGACTTTGAGGCACAGGCAACGCCAAAAAAAACCTAATCCACAACCGCCCCCCTAAACCCTAAACCCTAAACCCTAAACCCTAAACCCTAAACCCTAAACCCTAAACCCTAAACCCCTAAACCCCCAGAGCCTCAGAATCAAGAAAGGTGGGAAGAAGGATGGCAGGAGATCTTGGGACGGCTGGTCGGGTTCCACATGGCATGGCACCGACGCTTAAGTTCTCCAATTCTCACAACCTCTGAACTGCTTGGGTTCTTATGCTTTCTTCGGATGCTGGAGTAGCAGGGAACGAAGAGAACACACCCTAAACCCTGCCACCCTCAATCCACCGAGAAGCCTGCAAGTTCCAACACCTCTTAACTACCTCAATCTTTAGGGTTTAGGGTTTAGGGTTTAGGGTTTAGGGTTCAGTCGGATCCGGTCTGTGATTTATTGTCTTTTCCCGGTTAAAGGGTTTGGAGCTTCCGGAGTAAGGATACATGGCAAGAGCGGAGCTCAAGGTCATCCCAGGAGTCGTGGGCCTCGCAAGAGCCAGTGCCACGGTCAAAGATTTGAATGACCGTTTATGGGTTTGGGCTTTTGGGTGTTCGGGTAGACTTTAATGAATTAGGGTTTAGATGTTTGGGATGTAGGGGTTTAACCCTAAACCCTAAACCCATGCTATGAGGCTCAAGCTAGGGTTTGGGGCCTAGGGAATTGAGGTGCTGAGCGGTTATACCAGGCAGGCGCTGGATGGCCTGGGCTGCCATGAAGGACTTCTGCCGCCATGAGAAGAAATGTCAGGTTTTGTGGTAATGTCTGTATGTATGTATGTATGTATGTATGTATGTATGTATGTATGTATGCACTGTATGTATGTATGTATGTACGTACGTACGTACGTATGTATGTATGTATGTACGTACGTACGTATGTATGTATGTATGTATGTATGTACGTATGTATGTACGGTATGTATGTATGTATGTATGTATGTATGTATGTATGTATGTATGTATGCACTGTATGTATGTATGCATGCATGCATGCATGCATGCATGCATGCATGCATGCATGCATGTATGTATGTATGTATGTATGCACTGTATGCATGTATGTATGTATGTATGTATGTATGTATGTATGTACGTACG